ACTTCATTGGCATTTGGGAAACCGGCTGCTGAAGTAACACCCGCAACCGGGGGAGCTGCCCTGCATCCTAGAAAGAGGCTCAGTTTATCCCTAGGGATGAAATCACCCTGGTTCTGACAGCTGAGTGCCGTGCTGTGAGAGCAGAGCTTCATCTAGGTCAGCGTTGGGTCCTCCATCGCTCGCAGCGAAGCCGCCGGGGACGACATCGCCACCGGCTGCGTCTCAGCCAGGGGCAGGCGCGTGGATGCTTCGAGGAAGGTGACGCCAGGTGAAGGATGCAAAGCGGGCGGCCGCCGCGGGCAGGCAGGGACACTTCCTTGCGCAGCCCACGTGTCCCTGGGGAAGCCCTCAGACACCCCCGGTACAAGCGGCAGCTGGGGGACAAACACCCCACACTGCCCCGGCCAGGGGGACGTGGGACCCAGCAGGGCCAGGACACGAAGGCTGGGAGGTCATCGTCTTCCCAGGTTGCTCTGCGGAGGTGTCTGCGGGATGGAGGATGATGAGGATGAGGATGAGCATGGTCTCGAGTGCTCCCAGCCCAAGCACTGGGTGCCCCCAGCCAAGCACTTGCTCCCCGTGGCAGCAAGGTGCTGGTGAGGGGTCTCCGGCACGGCCCCCACCTCTGCCTGCCGGCACTGTGCTGTGCTGCTCTCCTGGCAGTGGAAAGGACTGAAGCTGAGGCTAAAAAGGCAGCCTCACGAGGCGGAAGGGTGCACTGAGCGTGCCCCCGGCTACCGCTGTAGGCTCAGGCGATGAAGAGGTTGTGCTCCGTCACATACTGAGGCGGTGGCACACGGTGTCCGGGAGCTCCCAGCATCTGCTTGTGCTCCAGAGCACTTAAGGTACTTCCCCTCGTGGAAGATAAAAGCAGCAAAGGATCACCCTGCCCTGTCAAGCAGCAGGCTGGGGGCGGCAGCCAGGCCAGCAGTGCCCCGAGGATGCCCAGCAGGCTGGGTTTATGGTGGGGGAGGACAGAGACCAGAAATTCCAGCTCACACAGATGAGGAATTTGCCCGAACCAGCAATTTTCCACTTTGCGACTGCATTGTGCAAACTAAACGCCAGCATGCACGCCTTGCTCACGGAGGTCACAGGCACCCAGCACCAGCACGTCTGGTGCAATGGCACGTGGGGATGGAGCAGGTTTCCCCGCTTGCTGCTCAAAGGGCAACCCCGGGCGAGAGTCCCTCCAGCCTGAGCAGCGCTTGAACTTGGGCTAATGGGGTCTGGCTGTCAGCATGGCCAGCTTGGGGTTAATTTTACAGCTAGGGGAATGCACAGAAGGAAACATCTGAGATATGGCATGCACGGCTCCATAAATAAGGCAGCTTCTCCTGAGTATTTCTGGAGTGGCCAGGGGAGCCAGCCACCATGGGAGCAAACCTCTTCACTTTGCACTGCGAAGGAAATCCAATGCCTGAATCTGCAGGTGAACTTGAGTTTGCTCCAGGAGCAGCCAGCTCCACCTAACCCATGCTCCTTGCCCCCAGTACAGCCGGTCACAGCCCCCGCTGGGACACAGAGCCATCGCAAAGCTGTCCCAGCTCCCTGGCACACTAACGAGCTCACGTTTCCCTGCCTCAGGTCTGGCCCATTGAGCTTATTTCTATTAAATGCATTTGAGAACATAAATCTGTCTTCAGGAAAGAAAAAAAAAAAAATCAGCTCATTAAGAAGACAGACAGCGTCTACAGTCTGAAAGGAACAGCAAATGGCAGCTGCCAAAAATGTCAATGTTAAATGCAGCTGCCAGCTGGGATTTATTAAAAGGTAGTTATACAGCAGTGGCGGTGAGCGGCACATCTTGTACTGGGGTAATCTCCCCTTCGTCTCCCACCTTCACCCAGCTTGCTGGCTCTGATGCATCCAGCCCCGATGCGACCTCCAGGACTGGCAGCCTGGATGTCTTGGGTTTTGCTCACTGCCTGAATATTTTGTTTGTTTGGTTCTTTAGCTGGGGAAGCCAGAACCCAGGAGCACAGCTAGAGCACCGCTCAGGCAGGGTGAGGTGCCACCTTTCTCCGCCTGGCCCTGCTCTCTGTTCGTGGGGAGAGGCACCCGGCACTGTCCCGGACAGTAACTAAGGTAGGGCAGGCTCAGCTACGAGAACAAGCAGGGACCAGACTCATGCCAGCAAACTGGGTTTTTCCCTTGTTCCTATGGAGGATCTGGGCTCTCTTCCACATGTGAATACCCTACGCTAAAACAGAAGGACAAGGCACGTGGGGAAGCTGCTCTCTGTTCGTGGGGAGAGGCACCCGGCACTGTCCCGGACAGTAACTAAGGTAGGGCAGGCTCAGCTACGAGAACAAGCAGGGACCAGACTCATGCCAGCAAACTGGGTTTTTCCCTTGTTCCTATGGAGGATCTGGGCTCTCTTCCACATGTGAATACCCTACGCTAAAACAGAAGGACAAGGCACGTGGGGAAGGGAGAAAGTGGGTAAATACCACCTGTATTGGCTCAAGAAGCAAGGCATGTTCCGCAGGGATGGC